GTAGACCCTACATCTTACATTAGCATGGTATATTTGTCAAAACTGAGAAACCAACACAGGTGCATTACTATTGACTAAATTTCAGATTTCATTTGGATTTCACCAGTGTTTCCCCTAATGTCCTTTTTCTGTTCCAGGATCCAATCTAGGATACCATGTTGTGTTTAGTCATCATGTTGCTGTTGTCGAATGTCTTGAGTGCCATTGTTTCATACATTTTGTCCAGTTTTTTAGTTGTTTCAGAAAGGAGGGTATATCTGGTCCCTGTTTCTACAACTTGATTGGAAGCAAAGTCTAAGATTAGTTTTATTATTTTATTTATTTAATTTATTTTTTGAGACAGAGTCTTGCTCTGTTGCCTGGTCTAGAATGCAATGGCGTCATCAGCTCACTGTAACCTCAAACTCCTGGGCTTAAGCAATCTTCTGCCTCAGACTTCTGAGCAGATGAGACTACAGGTGTGAGCCACTATGCTCAGCTAATTTTTCCTATTTTTAGTTGCCCAGATAATTTCTTTCTATTTTTAGTAGAGACAGGGTCTCGCTCATGCTGAGGCTAGTCTTGAACTCTTAACCTCCATCAATCCTCCCATCTCAGCCTCCCAGAGTACTAAGATTATAAGCACGAGCCACCATGCCTGGCCCAAGATTAGTTTCAAATAAAGCAAGAAAAATGCATTTTCTTTCTGATTTAAAAATATTCATCCTCCTATTTAAAGGGCAATGTTTGTTTGAAAATAAAAGAGAAATCTCGTTCAGTTCAAAAAAGGAGGGCTCCCCTCCAGCAAATACCACCAATATAGCTTAATTTTAATTAATTAATTAATTTATTTATTTATTTTGAGACAGAGTATCGCTTTGTTGCCCAGGCTACAGTGAGTGCCATGGCATCAGCCTAGCTTACAGCAACCTCAAACTCCTGGGCTCAAACCATCCTCCTGCCTCAGCCTCCCGAGTAGCTGGGACTACAGGCATGCACCACCATGCTCAGCTAATTTTTTCTATATATATTAGTTGGTCAATTAATTTCTTTCTATTTATAGTAGAGACGGGGTCTCACTCTTGCTCAGGCTGGTTTTGAACTCCTGACCTTGAGCAATCAGCCTGCCTTGGCCTTCCAGAGTGCTAGGATTATAGGCGTGAGCCACCACACCTGGCCGCTTAATTTTAATTTAAATAAATAGTTCTTGTGCGATTACTCTGAGAAATCTGATAATGTCACTGTGGCTAAGGGATTTCACATGTACCTGCAATCCCATACCTCATGCTCCCTTTCTCTTTTTATCTAATTATTTCTCTCCTGAAAAGCTGGAGGGGAAGCTGCAAATATGATAAAATGTGTTAAGAAATTCTTTCCTTTCTAAGTAAGTGGTATGTGAAAATAAAGTAAGTCCATGTTGAGTCACACTAACCTATTGCCTTGGCTGTGCAAGAATCACTAAGAATTTCTCACAGCTGTAGCTACAAAGTTAGAAAGGAATATGATAAATCAAACGTGGGAAAACAAATTAAACTAAGTGTCAGGGTTTTTTAAAACTTTATTAATGTAATTCACAACATTAAAAAATTAAACCAGAAAACCCATATGCTCCTTTTATAAAAACATATGAAATCCACACACATTCATGATAAAAACTCATAGCAAAGAGCAGAAGGAATTTCTTTAAGCTGATAAAAGGCATCTACCAAAAACCTACATCAAGAATTTTAATGGTGAAACTTTAGAAGGTTTTTCTTAAAAAAATATGAATCACACATTTTATATCCACTTCTTTTCAACATTGTACTGGAATCCTAGCCAACAGTATAGGGCAAGAAGAAGAAGAAAAAAAAACTATAAGCATTGAAACAAAAGAAGAAAAATTGCTATGTGAAGTTGTAATGATTGTTTGTAAAAAGAAAAATTCCCCAAACATTAATATTTAAATTATCATAATTACCAAGGAAGCTAAATAGAAATTCAGCATCCAAAAATCAATTTTATTTCTACATCTCAGTAACAAAGAGCTAAGTGATGCAATATTAAAAGTTACCATTTTCAAAGGAAAAAGAAAAAGGAAATTTGCTAGAACAGACATAATTTCAAAAGGTACAACATCTTTTTGGACAAAATTATAAAACTGTTTGAAGGCTCTTAAAGTAGGCCTAAACAAATAGACAAATCTACTGATAAGGGGATTCAGAACCATTAGTATATTAGTTTTCTCTAAATTATTAATGTATAGATTCAATATAAGTCTAATGAAAATTCAAAATTTTTTCATGGAACATAGCAAGCTGATTTTCAAAAATTATGTGGAAAGGCAAAGGAACAAGCCTAGAGTCTCTTTAAAAAGACATGAGCAAGTCTGGGCATGATGGCTGACACCTGTAATCCTAGCACTCTGAGAGGCCGAGGAGGGAGGATCGCTCAAGGTCAGGAGTTCAAAACCAGCCTGAGCAAGAGTGAGAGCCCATCTTTACTAAAAATAGAAAGAAATTAATTGGCCAACTAAAAATATATAGAATAAATTACCCAGGCATGGTGGTGCATGCCTGTAGTCCCAGCCACTCAGGAGGGTAAGGCAGGAGGATTGCTTGAGCCCAGGAGTTTAAGGTTGCAGTAAGCTATGATGATGCCACTGTACTCTAGCCCCAGCAACAGAGTGAGACCCTGTCTCAAAAAATAATAATAATAAAATAAAAAACAGAGCAGGGGAGATGGAAAGCTTGGTCTATAAGACTATAAAGTGTTAAGATTTAATGAGAAGCTACAGTCACTAAGATGGGTGGTATTGGCTCAGGGTAAGAGAAATAAACCAATAGAACATAATACCAAGAAATAGACTGTACCATATTGTGAAGGTAATCCTTGATTATGCTATAATAACTAATAAAACCTGAAATGGCTTTACTTAACACAATAAAGGGTAAATTCTGTTTTAGTCTGTTTGGGATGCTATAGCAAAAATACCTTGAACTAGGTGGCTTATAAACAACAGAAATTTATCGCTTACAGTTCTGGAGGCTGGGAAGTCCAAGATCAAGGCACTGGCGGATTCCGTGTCTGGGGAGGGCTTACTTCCTCATAGATAGCATCTTCTCCTCACTGTATCCTCACATGGTGGAAGGGGGAGGTGTCTCTTTTATAAGGGCACTAATCCCATTCATAAAGGCTCTACTTTCATGGCCCAATCACCTCCCATAGGCCTCACTTCCTAATACCATCATCTTTGAGGTTAGATTTCAACATATGAATTTTGGGGGGACACACATTCATACCATAATGATTTCTCACTCATGTCACCAACTGATGGAGGTCACGGACTCTCCCTGGTACTCTCCTGCAACCTGGTGTCCTGGTCTACTTCCATTATGCAACTCCACTTCTTGGGGCTCCTTGCTTCCAGCCCCAGGATGAGAGAGAGGCACATGAAGACATACCTGTCCTTAACTGCCTCCCACCCCTGGCATTCCCACTGGCAAAAATCTCAGGCACAGGGTCTCAACGCAGCCACATGGGAGGCTAAGAAATGCAGCTGTTCTGTGTGCTCGGGAGTAGGCAATGGTGTGGTGCACCAGCATTTCTCTGCCAAACAATATGGAAACTTGATATATGACAAAATCGACAGCATAGATCCTTGAAGAAAGTGCCAACAATTAATAAATAATGTTAAAAAAAAAAAGGAAGCCAATTTCTTCTTTACACTGCACACAAACAAATAACTTTCAAATGGATTAAAACTTTAAATAAGAAAGATAAAAGAGATATACGAGATTATCTTTGTATTCCAGATATTTGGAAAGAGTTCTTAAACAACAGAAACACAGAAGAAAATGATGGATAAAAATATGTCATAAAGAAAAAGACAAGTGACAAACTAGTAGAAGATATTTTGCAGTACATATAACTGACAAATAATTGGCATTTAAAATATATAAAGAAATTATATTAGTCAATTACTACAAAAATACAAATAAATTAATAGAAAAAATGGGCAAGTGACTTGAATAAACATAACACATAAGTGAAAATATGAATGGCCAATGATTGAATAGAAATAGCTCTACTTCATTAGTAAGTCAGACAATGAAAATTTAAATCACAAGAAAATTACATTTTGCAACCATTAGATTTGAAAATTTAAAAAGTCAGAGAGCATTATTAGGTGCTGAAAAGGAGGAGGAGTAACAAGAAATCTTTTCCACTACTGCTGACAATAGAAATGGATACAAAAAGTTTGAGGACTAATTTGACACTGTCTTATGAATTTAAAACTGTGCATACCCACAAAGTAGCAATTCCACTTGGAGGGAAATTCTTGCACATGTGAACTAGGGCTAGATACTGCAACACAGACGATTGCCTTGAAAATACAATGTGGAGTGAAAAAACAAGATTCAGAAGAATACATATAGTATACCCTTTTTATAAAGTCAAATCAAGCAAACCTAACTATATTGTTTAAGAATCCACACATACATGTGTTTAAGGATCCATACTATAAAGAAAAACGAGGGAATGAGGAAAAGTGAAAATTTAGGGTAGTGGATACCTTTGGGGGTGTGGTGAGGGAATAAGGTGGAGTGGACACACAAAGAGCTTCAGGATGCTAGTGAAATTGGATTTTTAAAAGTGGGTGACGGGTTCACAGGCATTCATTTTATTATGTAGTAAGATCTTGTTAGCATAAACATTTTTATGCATCAAATATTTAATTTTTAGAATTAAAACACACACACAGAAGAAAGAAGTAAGTATTCTACAAACTGACCCCCATTCAGTAGAGCTGTTAGTTTTGCAATTACAAATTGCAGAAATTGCAAAATTCTGCTCATTTGCAAATTGAGCCAAAAGCTTGAGAGTGTATGTTCTCTTTTTATACTTAGTCTGTAGTGAGATCCTTTGTCCATTTAAAATTTTGTTTCCTTTTCACAATTTCCTAGAAGCCCCTTGCAGTATAATGTATCTCATTTTTTACTTTTATTTTCACACCAAAATTCTGTTTTATTTTTTCCCAGTGGCCAGGTTTTATCTGCTCTTCCTAGAACCTCCATGCAAGTTCAAATTTTGCAGAATCTTACTACAACATATGAGGTAATTTCTCCTTATGTTTATATTGGTTTCATTTTATATAAGCATTGGATACGTCTTGTCTTCTCTATATTGCATGACTTATATGTATCTGATATGAACGTCTCTCCTCATAGCCTTCTCCCCTTTCCCAAAATAACATGACTTTGTTGGTTCCCAAAATCAAACTTTCTTCCTCTGTGCTATTGGATTTTCAGCCAATTTCATAATAGTACCTAGGAATTGAAAATGTGTACTTACAAAGATGCTATGGCAACAGAAGTTCAATAAAATTTTGCTTATAAAACAATGATACTGAACCAAGGAATATGCACCCAAAACACAAGGGGAAATTTGTTAAAATTTTCATGCCTTGGAACCAGAATGTCTAAAGTGTAGAAAATTGACAAGTGTCACAAAATATCATGGTGGGAAACTGGTGGCTCCATGTTAGTGTTCACCAAGGAGCAGATGTCAAGTCCAGATTAGAGGTGCAAGCAATTAGGGGGATACTGTGATGGACAAAGAAGAGGGAGCTGGAGATGTGCAGGGAGCATCTTCAGATCAGGATGCAGCCCTAACACCCCTGCAAGAAGGAGGATTTTGCACAGAGACTCTCAGACTGCAGGGCAGTTCCAAGGAAGCTGGGGCTAGGCCAGTGGTAAATCCTCAGGCCAAAGTCATGTGTTATAGGAGTCCCACATTTGGGAGGAATGGGCCTGCATCAACACACTCACAGTGCACAATTACTGACTGGCCTCAAGCTCCTGGTGGATCAGCAGGGCCAGCAGCTGGGAATACCAGCCAACTGTGCTCCTTGCAACAGCACAGCTGAGTGCATTTTTATGGCCACCACACCATGGTCAAGAGGAAACACTGCAAGAGGAAATCTCAGAGATTTATAATTTTAGTTCTTGTTCTGTCACTTCTTGACATATGATTTTAGACAAGTTAGCTAGGAGCCTTCATTTCTTCATCTGAACAATGAAAATAATAACACTTGCCTAGTCTCTATCAAAGTGTTATTACAATTATCAAAGAAAATAAGTGTGAAAGTGCTTTGAAAGAGTACAGCACAATAGAAAAAATGTAAATCTTATTGGAAGGCATTGCCCAAAGGCCACAATTAGATTTTTAAAAAGGAACAATATCATGATAATAATTACAAGAACATGAAATTTTTATTAAATCAATGTGTAATCAACTTTCTAGGCAAAAATCTCATTTCTCTTTTAAATATCTGACATATGCATTCAGTTTTACAACTGAGTCATCCATTCATTATTGTTACTCATTCATTCATTATCTCATCAAATATTTACTGAGTATCTGATAGGTTCCAGATCCTCTTTAGCAACTAGAGTTACAGAAAAGAATTTAAAAAGCTCACTACAAAATGAATTTTTATATTACCATGTGTATGGACGAAGACCAGTGGCCAGGCAGTGTCCTTTTCATGTCCCTTACAGACACAACTTTTATGGCTCTAGCTACAGATGAGAATGATGTGAACAACTCTTCTTTTATTTTATCAATTTTTCACCTTAAAACTGTAGATTGTTCTCTGGCGGCCGGTAATAGCTGACCTTATTGAGAAGAAAACAGAAGTCCATTTTTTTGTGAATGCATCTGATGTAAGCACTGTGAAAACGCATTTAAAGGTGAACAGCATTTTATTCAGGTAGGCATCATGTAAGACATACTGAGTCGCTATTATAAGCACCTATTATGCGTATGACCAAAGGCTGGTATCATTGCCTCCAGGAAAAATAAAATACATTAAACATGGCGTCATAGAAGTCGCTGAAATGGACTGGTGATAAAGCCCAGGGTCCAGCTCTGTGACCTTGGACAAGTGGTTTAACCTCTCGTGACCTCAGTCTCTTATCTGAAATGATGGTTAGACTCAACAATCAGTGGAGCCTCTCTTAGTTCCTTCTTCTGTGCCTACTCTGCACCCAGACGTGGGGAGCAAAGTTGTCATTCATCTTGGTAGGCTTTGTGGTATCTCTTGCAAAAGCAGCTGCTTGAGGGGATTTAGCTTTTGCTAATTCTGCCTTCACAAAGTCAGTGAACATTTCTGAATGTTTGGCGCCAAACTAAAAGGTGTTAATTCTGCATAGATCCTGGGTTGGAGGCTGGCACTGCCATCTGCCACCTGTGTGACCCTGTGGGAATTACTAATATTAAACTTTCTGTAGCTCAGTTTTGTAAACAAGGGATAAAAGTAGCACCTATCATGTGTATTAAATTATTTCATTTTTTTAAAAAAGTGTATCCGGTGCAATTTCTGTTCAGAGCCCACACCTTCATCCTTTTGGATCCTCCTGCCCATAATATCCCCTCCATATCCACTGCCCAGCCGCCAGGGTCCTCCTGCAGGCCTAGCACCTTCCTTGAGACCATGCTCTCTTCTGTGTAGCAACGGGTAACCTCTAGATGATACGCTTTAATAACTATTAGTAATACACTATTGGTGTTTACTGTTTTCCAGGAACTGTGCTGATCTTTTTTATACATTGTATCATTTAATCTTTATTTAATCCTGTGAAGTAGATACTATCCATTATGCATATGAAAAAAAAAACCCTCTTATTTATAAACGAGTTTCTCAAGGTCAACCAGATAGAACATGGCGGAGCTAGGAGCCGAATTCAGGCTTTCTGATAACAAAGCCATGGCTTTTATCCATCAGCCTAAATAAAAGTAAATAAACCTTTATTAATATGATAGCTACTTTACAAATTGTCCATCTCAGGTGATAAAATACCTTAATTCAATTAAAAGTTTTGCCTAGTTAATAGATGTGGTGCTTCTGGAGAGAAATTAAATGAGATGCCTTTCCCATACCTTTCCTTGTCCTGTACTTCCATTTCTTTGGCTCTGCGCAATACCTGGTGCGGGTTCATGGAAAACAAAACAAAACAAAAAGAAAAGGCTTTCTGCTTCTCCTTCATCTTTTTACTGAAAACGGAATAATGCAGTGTGACTCTGGATTGAAGAAAGGTACATTAATCTATATGTTCACATAAAAGACACTGAAGAATCACAGTAGAGAAAAATTGATAGTGGTGGGAAAGGGTGAGTTTTTGGAGGTCCTGAAAACATACCTTATAGGAGCTACTTTTTTCCAGTGCTACTTTCTAGACAAAATTTCATTTCGACTTTAAATATCTGACATACACATCCAGTTTTACAGTTGAGGCATAAATATATTCATTCATTCATTCATTCCTCATTCCTTGTCTCATCAAATATTTACTGACCTCCTCATAGGAGCTACTTTGTCTCCATGTAGGCTCTGCTGAAAGAGTTCGTTAATTCAGTTTATCACAATGTGAGATGGTGGTGTTTTTAGCTTGATGAACTGCTTCTTTGATTTTTTTAGCAATTTTCCCCCATGCTAACCTGTGGTGCCTGCAATGAGCTGTGTAGGAAGGTGAGTGCTCTGCTTTGGAAATCAGCTCACTCTCTGTTTCATCACCTAGGGTCTTGCTGGAAGATGTGGAAGCTATTATTCAACAGCAGACCTCCAACACCACGCTCATCCCCCGGGCGTCCTCATCGTACTACGAACGCTATCACCCACTAGACGAAGTAAGCCATCACACCGATCTTTAAAGTTACTATTTTCGCTTAACCAGGGTTGCCATTTCAACCAGGAAAAATTATCAAAGAATCATAATTACTGGAGGATGGAAAAAAAAAAAAAAAAGAAACACATTTTGGTGGATTACATGCTGGTAACTCATCCTTTTGTAGATATCTTCCTTGGGAAAATTGTATTATATTTGGTAAAATGGAGGCTATTCGTCCACTGCTAAGAGTGTCTCTAGCTGCGAAAAGTAACACTGGATGCTAAGGAATAACAGGAATTAAAGAACAGGGCCTTTTAATTGAAACTGCCACAAAATATAAATTACCAGTCCAATTAATCATGTTTCTTTGGACCATTACCCTAATTTTACTTTTACTGAACAACTGCCAGATTACCTCACTGAAGTAAAGAAATATATTCACTTATACTTAATACACTATAAATAATTGCATTTTATTCCTCTTAGGAGGAAGCTATTTAAATTAATAATAATAATAATGCCTGTGTTTTAATATTAAAGAAATTGGATTTTTTTTCTCTTAGTACTTATAGGTTCCACTTTTTCTAGTGGGAACCTGAGTAGGATGTTCATGTTTAGTTAGGACCTCAGTAAGCTTTCACATAATACACTAAAAGCCATTTCCCCATATTTGTTAGTTGAAAGAGTAAATCCCTTGGAAGTCTTTCTCTTTTGTATAGTGTACTCCGAGTAATAAAAATACCTTGATGACTTTTGTTTTTTCATAAGCATATGCTGCTATATTGCCTAATGTAAGTGTTTTGTATCATCTTTGACAAGGTGCCCAGAAACTATTAGAGCCCATATCCATATGTTTAAGACATCTAAGACTTAGGTAACAAGAATCAGTTTTATATTTAATCTTTAAAAGCATCTGTTCCTTCCCAGTTAGGTATTAATAAACCAGAACTCAATCTGTTTCTAGAATCAATGTGCCTGGCTGATTGATGGGGGTCTTAAAATTGCATCCCACTCCTGTATCTCTCCTACCCCACACCTATTCCACCTAGACCACTTCTCTCCAGCATCCACACCAGCACTGCATGAACAGACTTGATGCTAAGGGGCTATGTACGCATGATTTGCAAAATGCAGAAGATGAAAACGTCACTGCTGTGTTAAGTTTGGTAGGGAGAGGGGAATGCCTTAAAGGTAGTATTTTTAAATATATTTTTAATTATGTTGTTTAAAAAATTATATTTTCTTACCATATCCTCAGGGAAGAGTTGAAATGATACAGAAGGAAAAAAACAAGCACATGAATTTATTAGTTTGCTAGGGCTGCCATAACAAAATACCACAGACTGTGTAGGGTAAACAACAGAAATTTATTTTCAGATAGTTCTGGAGTCTAGAAGTCCAAGATCAAGGTGTTGGCAGGTTTGGTTTCTTCTTTAAACCTCTCTCCTTGACTTGCAGGTGGCTCCCTTCTTGCTGTGTCCTCCCTCATACAGTATTTTCTTTGAGCATGTGCATCCCTGGTGTCTCTCTCCGTGTGTCCTAATCTCCTCTTTGATTAAGGATAACCATCAGATTGAATTAGTGTCCACCTTAAGGGCCTGATTTTAACTTAGTCACCTTTAAAGGCCCTATCTCCAAATACAGTCATTTTATAAGGCACTGGGTATTAGGACATCAAAATACGTATTTTGGCAGGGGACACAATTCAACAAAACAACTATGACATTCCAGAAAATAGTTTGTACTTCTCTCCCCACACCCTACCCCTAATACTTGCCAAAAAATTCAAAGGAACCATGGCAATTTTGCTGTCCAAAAATTCCTCTAAGTGCTTCTTTCCCTTTAGACAGTGATCTCTCCATCAGCCCTCCTTACAAGATGGCCCCATGGGGTTCTTTTGTCATGGCCTACACCAGGAAATCTTAAGTAATCCACTGCAGGGAGAAAGAAACAAATGGCAAAAAAACTACTTCTTAAGTGGCAGGGGAAAAGAGTTTTTTAAAGGATGTTACCTGCACTATCCCATGTTAGCTTGTAAAATACATAAAATTTGTCAGTAAAGATGCCTTCATACAACACAGCCTCGTTGAAAGAAATCTTTGAACTATCAATGCTATAACATAGATTAACTTCATGTAGTAGCTCTCTCAGATGTATTCATGCCTAGAAGAGTAACACAGGAAACGGGAGTTCCAATGAGAAAATCCCTGATGGATAAATTTCTGACACTCCAGAACTGACCAGGGTTGGTACTTGGTGGCAGGTGAGCCTTTCAGGAGCCCCTTAATTCTCATCGTGGAGCCAGCCACTCACACAGCCCACTCACGCTAGTGAAGCTACTTTCAGAGAACCCAACGGTAAAAGGTGCTCCAGTGTCCATCAGCTAGGACTGTTGTTTGGAGCCACCTCTACAAACATTTCCAGAGATGAATCCAAGACTTGATTGTCCCTATTTCAGAAGGTGTAAGAGTTTAAGTATGGCCCCTGGGAAGTTGGTCCACATTAAAACATGACCAAGTTCGATCCCAGCAATCCCCAGACAATAATTCCATGTCTGCTTTGAAGTGGTCACTAGCTTAAAGTCAGCCCCAGAATGTCTTTTTGCTTTTTCCTTCCACTATAATTGAGGTTCCTTGAGAGAACCCAACTACCACTGGACTTCCACCCAGGAGAAAAGTCCGGAATCAGCTACTTCTCAGGGTAGAATTGTTTTTTTCCTTCAGATGGTCCTCATCTTGTCTCTCATCATTCTACCAATCTCAGTTTGCTTGCATAGATCTTTAAGGGAAACAATGATACGTCCATTTGTCCTGCGTAAAGACAGTGCCTGGAGCTCCTTTAGTCTTGAAAAATGAATTTTTTTTAATGTTCCATATAAAAGTAAACTCTTGAATGAATGGTAAAAAGGGTTTCATACACAAGGCAGGAACTCAATATAAGCCTTGAAAAATAACTTTAAACTATAGTTTAAAGATTAACTTTCTCTGCTTTGTTATAAATTTCTTAGTACTTTTTTACTCTTTCTCTAAATCTTGGCACTTACAAAAACTTTAATTTTATTAATTTCTCTAAACAGAAGAAACACCTTGCCCCAGGAGTTTTAGTTCCTCATTCCTAAAACATACAAAGATTTTAAAGGAAACTCCTTTCTTTGAAGAAGTTGTTTACTTCCTTTGGTCAGTGAAATGCTTTGAACTTGCTCTGTGAATAACCACTGGTTTCCATTTTGATAGATCTATACTTGGATAGAATATATGACTGAGACGTACCCTGATATGGTTAAAAAAATCCACATTGGATCCTCATATGAGAAGCACCCACTTTATGTTTTAAAGGTATGCTGTGTTCTACTAAACGCGACCTCAGAAAAAATAAAATAAAAATAAAAAGAAATAAAGAAATAAAAAAAATTAAAAAAAAAATAAAGGTATGCTGTGGGGAGAGGCTTTGATCTTTTCACTTGAGGGGAGCGACTGATTCTCCAGTGGTGCTTATTAAAACTTGATTTTTTTTCAGCTCTGGAAATATTTATGTTACAGATGTTCCTAAATTTTAATATACAGCTATTTAGAGGTTGGCAATTGCCTTTAAAATTTTTTCCTTTAGTATTGTGGTGCTGGTCTAACAGCAGAAACCCCAGTTCTAGAATCAACGCTGTCTCTGTTTATGTGACATTATATAAGCCATTTAACTTTCCTGGGCTTCAGTACCCACCTGCATACAATAAAGGAAGTGGTCTACATTATTTTTCCAGTTTCTGTTTTATTTATATCAACACCACTTCTAATTCAGCCCAAAACTAAAGAGAGAGGAAGGAAGGAAGGAAGGAAGGAAGGAAGGAAGGAAGGAAGGAAGGGAGGGAGGGAGGGAGGGAAAGAGTAGCGTGATCAGAGATTCAGAAACTATGAAGATATGTTGTTAGGTGACTCTGGTGAATGGACTGATCACTCGAATGATGGCAAGAGTTGCAAGGGAATAAAAATCCACATCCAGGTATTAGGAAATTCTGGCAGTCAATGTATAACAGCAATAAGAGAAGAATGCAATGAGTGCAACCAGATTATATAGTTCCAGAGAAGAAGGAGAGCAGTGTCAGGAGAGAAGAATGCGGATCCACTCACCTAGCCTCTAGACACGTGGTGACATGAAAGAAAACAGCCCATCTACTTGATGAGCTACCATGAAGCAGTATCCTTAGCAATCCTTCAGCTAGGTGAGGAGCAGCAATGACTGGGATGTATTAAGAATCATAGTCACTAGGCCGGGCGCAGTGGCTCACGCCTGTTATCCTAGCAATCTGGGAGGCTGAGGCGGGCAGATCACTCAAGCTCAGGATTCGAGCCCAGCCTGAGCAACAGCAAGACCCGTCTCTACTACAAATAGAAAGAAATTAATTGGCCAACTAACATATATATAGAAAAAAATTAGCCGGCATGGTGGCGCATGCCTGTATTCTAGCTACTCGGGAGGCTGAGCAAGAGATTGCTTGAGCCCAGGAGTTTGAGGTGCTGTGAGCTAGGCTGATGCCACGCACTCACTCTAGCCTGGGCAACAAGTGAGTCTCTGTCTCAAAAAAAAAAAAAAGAGTCTAGTCACTGGAACCATGCTCATTTAGGGAAGATACACCAGTATCTTGGATTGGGAACCTTCCAGTAGACTCAGGGAGATGCAACTCTCATGAGTGAGGAAGGGAAGATGGCAAGAAAAGAAGGAATGTTGTATTTGTCAAGACCCAGCAAAGGCAGAAATAGTTTTACTTGATATACCTCATTTATTAAGAAAGATCTAAGGGCATCTCTTGATTTCCTAATGCATCTTTTGTGTTGTTGTGTGTTGTGAATACAAGATTGCAATAACATTATCAGAAGGACACATGTTTTGAGTTATTTTTTCCTGTGGCAATGGCTCTTTGTTAAAGTAAATGTAGAGAACATATATGCCCATTTTAAGCATAATTTGAAGCATAATTTTACCATTTTCATTTATTATTAAGATTTGTAGTCATTATATTTTTTACTTTTATGACATATTATTGTCTTACATATGGCATTTTGATGCAAAACTTTCTTCAGTGACAAAACTCCCTATTATTATATATGGGAAGACATGGTTGGCCCTATAGTGGTGTGCTTTATTTCAACTTGCAAAGGCAGAATATGGCAAAAAATGTCTGGACAATTAACACAAAAGATAGGAATTAATTGGGACCCAATTTGGTAATTTCTCCAGTCCTTTCTTCTACACAGCAAACATATTACCATCAGCATAAAATTTCTTAATTGTTTCCAATGTTTAGCCCAGAGAGATGTAGAAAGGAAAAGACCAACACTATTTAGGATGACCTAAATGCTTGAAGTCATGTTCTCAAACTTAAGTCACCCTGGAAACTTGTGAAGATTGTAGATTCCTAAGCTTCACTTCAGAAATTTTGAGTCAATAATTTTAGGATGTGATCTGGGAAATTGCATCTTAATAAACAGTGCAGTGGATTCTGTAGACAGGTGATTTTGGGTCCATTTTAAGAACATGGCTTAAAGGAAGTGGATATTTACTTGTCTACGAACACAAGCAGAAGCAGGAGAGATCCATTCTCTGGCATGGATTCCACAGTCAATCCATATAGCTTTTTGGCATTTTTTTCTTTTCCAAAACCTACTCAAAGAAAACCGAAAAGGCAAGAACAGTAACAATAAGCCTCAGGATAACAACTTGCATTTATATAGTGCTTATCTTTAATACTTTCAACAAATGTCTGCTGCACACATTGTTCTCTGCATGCCTTTGAGATTCTCAAGGGGAATCTAAACACTGGTGAGATTAAGGGATACTAGTTAACATCACAAAGCCGGTGTGTGTCAGGACTGAGGTTTGAAGCCAGGACTCCAGATTTAAAGCTCTTTTTATTCTCTCACTAGTACCCAGTCATACCAGAGCTGCATGTGGAAGTTTAGAAGTAGAAACCAGAGAACTAATGCATCAGGCCATATCTCATGCTTAGTTAGAGGTACATGGTACTCCCTCCACTATTTTCCTCAGAATGCTTGCTTTTTATCTACAGAATTAGAACTACAGAATTAGAAACCACCATAGGCAGAATTATCATGTTCATGGTTCTCAAAATTTTCTCAGTGGCTATGTTCACTGACCTTTTCTAAGGGAAATTTATTCAAGATAGAAGCATCTAGTCCTAGGTAGGTTAATCAGCTTCTGTCATAAATTTTGCAACTGAAATAAATAACCAAATGAATGGTGACTGAGAGAAGCCATCATATGAACCTTATCATAATGACCCAGCATTGCCCTAGTTCCTATCCTTCCCTGGGTCTGGTTGTTCAGCTCTTACTGTGTTTCAAAAGCTGCACCAGGAAGTCCCAGGCAGAACAATTAGGCAAGGGAAAGAAATAAAGGGCATTCAATTGAAAAGGAAAATTATAATCCTTGTTTGCAGATGACATGAGTTATATTTAGAAAACCAAAACTCCACCAAAAAACTATTAGAATTGATAATGAATTCAGTAAAGTTGAAGGTATAAAATCAACATACAAAGTCAGTAGCATTCTATACAACCCTAAAATTTAAGAAACTAAGAAGCAATCCCATTTATAATTTACAAAAAAAGCCTTAGAATAAACTTAACCAAAAAGTGAAAGATCTCTACGAGAACTATAAACACACAACGAAATTGAAAAGGACACAGAAAAAATGGAAATATATCCATGCTTATGAATTGAAAGAATTAATGTCAAAATGTCCATACTGCCTGAAGTGATCTACATATTCAATGCAATCCTCATTGAAATAAAATGAAATCTTCCAGAAATAGAAAAGACATTCTAAATTTGTAGGGAATCACAAACCCCAATACCCAGAGCCTCCTGAGCAAGAAAAACAATGCTGTAGTGCCAAAACGGATGGTACTGACATAAACAAACACATAGACCAATGAAGCAGAATAGAACCAACCAGAAATAGTCCATGCATTTACAGCCAATTCATTTTTGACAAGGCACAAGAAACACACATTGGGCAAAAGATTGTCTCTTCAATAATAGTGCTGAGAAAACTGAGTATTTTAATGCAGAAGAATAAACTAGATCCCTATCTCTCACTACATACAAAAGTCAACTCAATGGAGTAGACTTAAATGTAAGACCGAACTGTGTAACTACTGGAGAAAACTGGGAAAGATCCAAAAAAACATTTCTCAAAGAAAATATATAAATGACCAATAAGTATATAAAATAGCTTGACAACACTAATCATCAAAGGAAATGCAAATCAACCACAATGAGATATCATTGTACTCAGTTAGAATGGCTATTATCAAAAGACAAAAATAACAGATGCTGGTGAGGATTGAAGAAGGGAAACACACCTGTTGGTGAGTAAATTAGTACAGTCATTATGAAAACAGTATGGAGGTTCTCAAAAAGTTAAAAGGAGAACTAACATACAATCCAGCAATCCACTGCTGGGTAATCCCAAAGAAAGAAATCAGTATATCAAAGTGATATCTGCACTCCCTGTTTACTGCGCACTATTCACACTAGCCAAGTATAGATCAATGTAAAGTGTCAATAGATGAATGGGTAAAGAAATTGTGGTATTATACATAGTGGATATTATTCAGGAATAAAGAAGAATGAATCCTGTCATTTGCAGCAACATGGATGGAACTGGAGGATATTATGTTAACTGAATAGCCAAGCAGAAAGACAAATATATATATGTTCTTACTTACATAGGGGGCTAAAAGCTGATTTCATGGAGGTAGAGAGTAGAATGAAGATCATCAGATAATGGAAAATGTAGGGTGAGGAGGAATTAAGATGGATTGGTTAATGGCACAGAAATACAATTAGATAGAAGAATAGTTCTAGTGTTCAACAGCACAGTAGAGTGACTGTTGTTAACATATTTATTGTCTATTTTAAGATAGCTGAAAAAGATTTGAATGTCCAACACAAAGAAATTATAAATGTTTGAGGTGATCAGTATACATTGTATGCGTGTATCAAAATATCATATGTATCCCAAATGAGGGTCTTCAAAAAGTTCATGGAGAATATGTATTATGAAAATACTATGTAGGATTTCAACTTACACTAACTTGTTATAACATGTCTGAAAAGGACCTAGTTTGAGGCACTAAGAAGGATAAGACATCAGTTTGAAAAGAGCCCTATTAGACACATGAATTCTGATAAGATCGAAGCAGAACAAACATCAAATTTATGGTGAAATTGTGGAGAATGGTGAACCATTACTGCTCTATGAAATGTTTATGTCAATGCCCAAAGAAATGAGCAGTTTTACAATGGAATAGCTTTTTAG